TAGCAGCTTGGTGGATGGGCCCAGCACTTGTAGAGGCATCTGCTTTCCCCCAGGTTTGGAAAGAGGCAGGGACCGGCTGCCTGGGTCTCTTGTCTCCAGGCCCCTCACCAGTTCTCCATAAATCCCCTCAGAGTGAGAGCTAGTGATTGGACTCCAATGTGGGCCAATTTCTTAAGTACCTAAGCATGTAAGTCATCAGGGCCTGTGGATGGGAATACACAAGTTCTTTCCTTATTCCCCTGGCTTCCTGCCTGCTCGTGATTCCACGTGGTGCCTCTTTCAGTTTTCAGATCACAGCTGACCTTTTTAGGCTAAGAAAAAATTAAAAGGCTCTGCTTTTTCAGTGTCGTTGCTTATAAGCTTTCTCTTCCCAGCGAAAAACGTGCCAGCAATCCCCTTATCCCCTTTCTTTGGCCCATTATAGTTAGCAAATGTTTTTCTCATTCTTTTGCCACCTCATGCAAGTTATATCCCATTTCTTTTCTGAACAAGTTTTCTGATTTTATCTCCACAGCCTTTTTTTTTTTTTTTTTAAATTTCTTTGTGTGTACCCCTCCTTTGGAACCTGGCCTGATTTCTACTTTCTTTGGCTTCTCCGTTATCGTTTTAGTTCTCTGGGAAGCTTTCTGCATAACTAACACGTAATCACTGGGTTCTTTTTAGCTGCTTTGTGCATCAGGATAGTTTCATTCTCTTCTCCTAATTTTGTTGCCTTATGTGGAAATGTCCAATTCTCCTTAGAGAGTGCCCTTGGTTCTTAAACTCTGTCTTTGTGTTTTTCATCTTGAATCTCAAAGCCTGGTACAGAACGCTTTCAGGAAGGGCCAATATCTGGATCTCGTTTGAGTTCCTGCTTTTCTTCCTTTCTCTCAGGTGGTGCTAGCTTTTCTCAGTGCTCCCTTCCATTCCCCAGTGTCTTTTTTTTTTTTTTTTTGAGACAGAGTCTTGTTCTGTCACCCAGGCTGGAGTGCAGTGGCACGATATCTCGGTTCACTGCAAGCCCTGCCTCCCAGGTTTACGCCAGTCTCCTGCCTCGGCCTCCCAAGTAGCTGGGACTATAAGCGCCTGCCACCTCGCCCGGCTAATTTTTTTTTTTTTTGTAGTTTTAGTAGAGATGGGGTTTCACTGTGTTAGCCAGGATGGTCTTGATCTCCTGACCTCGTGATCCGCCCGCCTCGGCCTCCCGAAGTGTTGGGATTACAGGCGTCAGCCACTGTGCCTGGCCCCCCCAGTGTCTTTAGTTTGTGAGTAGCAAACTGAGTCAGGACTTGCTCCCCAAGGCCTCACAAAGCAGGCAACCAGAATGGGGAGGGGACCAGCAGCTGCATTTGGCTTCTGATGCCTGGAGTGTGGATGGGGTCACTTACCAGGAGTGTTTGGTTACCATAAGGGGCTCCTTCCATTCACAGACCCATTTGTTCATTCTCAGACTCCCTCATTCCCTCCAGAACCTCTGTGTTAGTCTGGGGTCCTGCCTGCGTGGGCTTACCGGGCACATGAGCCTTCTTGAATGTTAGATCAATAATGGTCTGGTGCAGTGCACCAGCGAGTAATACACACAGAAATCAGGTTAACAACATAGAAGGTGGCGAGTGTAAGGCATGTAGACAGTGGTGTGGGAGCGATGTGCTCTGCTGTTCCATTGCAGGAGGCTGCTCCCCGAAAGCCATATTCCAACAGGGTCTTTACATTTAGGAATGTGTTTGCCAGGAAGGGTGATGTAGAGGAGCATTCCAGGCAGAACAGGATGTGCAGAGGCAGAGAGGGCCATCTGGGACTTGCCGTGTCGGGCAAACGGAGTCTCCAAACCCCATGAAAGCCTGTTGTCTTTCCAACCCTCCACTGGTCTGGATGGATCATGTCAAGATGGCTCTGGGAAGGGCCCTTTCAGTGCCTCCCCAGGGGCGCCCAGTGCTCCCAGAGCCACCTGCTGTCAGCTCCAAACTTGCCTGTTCAGTGAAGGCTTTCTCCATCCAGCCGGGCCAGTGCTGACTGGAGGCTCCGGACCTAGTCCGTTCCCTTCCCCCATGGCTATGACAATAGGAACTCTCTGAATCTTCCCTGGGCTCTGCCCTATTCTCTTCGCCCCAAGCATCCAGCTAAGCATTCCTCTACATTCTAGATTCAATTTCTTACATCTAGAAAAACTAGAAAATACAGAGTAGTAAAAGTGTTAAAATAGCTTCAAAAAGCATGCATATGCCGGGCGCGGTGGCTCATGCCTGTAATTCCAGCACTTTGGGAGGCCAAGGTGGGTGGGTCACCTGAGGTTGGGAGTTCGAGACCAGCCTGACCAACATGGAGAAACCTTGTCTCTATTAAAAATACAAAATTAGCTGCGTGTGGTGGCAGGCACCTATAGTCCCATCTGCTTGGGAGGTTGAGGCAGGAGAATCGCTTGAACCCAGGAGGCGGAGGTTGTGGTGAGCTGAGATGGTACCACTGCACTGCAGCCTGGGCAACAAGAGCGAAACTCCATCTCAAAAAAAAAAATTCATGCATAATCCCATCATTCAAAGTTAACCTTGTCTACATTTCGATGTATATCCTCCCAGATGTATCATTTCCTTTTACAAAACAGGCAGTTGGCACGGGCATTTTTTAGAAGTATATATACATCTAGCCCAAGATTCCAAACAGCTTCGTAGCACTCCACTGTGCAGCTGAACCATCACTTATTTAAACCTGGAAGCTTGATGAAGGGCACCGACTGAATGAACAAAAATGAGGAAGGGCCTTTGTAGATTCCTCTTCTACGTCTTCCATGTTCCTTTGGAGCCAGTGTTTGAATGTATAGAAAGTGCACTGGTCAAGACATGAGTTTGAATGCAGGCTCTCGTCCGTGTGTGTGGGTCTCAGATCCATCCACACATCTTATTGAGCCTCATCCTGTTTGGCATTTTTGAGCATTAAACACAACTGACCACTCCCCCTTATTTACCTCCTTTCTTCCTCCGGCCTCGGACGACGTCCTCCAGCCCAGCACTTCTCCCATATTTCACCTTTCCTTCCTAGTTTCAGGAACTGGAAACTTTTCTCCGACCAGCACTCATGTCAGCACCCTCCAGGCCTCTGTTCCCAGCTTCCTCTCTGCCTCTTACCACCTTGTCATATTCAGTTTGTTTCCTTTGGATGACCCATCTAGTTCCATAGATTTGAGGGCCAAACTCTCCCTGGCCCATCTCTCCTGAAATCTGCATCCACATAGTCAAGGGCCTAAAGAACATCTCCATCAGAAACTCAATGATGTGACTGGGCGCGGTGGCTCACGTCTGTAATTCCAGGAGGCAGGAGGATCACCTGAGGTCAGGAGTTCGAGACCAGCCTGGCCAGCATAGTGAAACCCCATCTCTACTAAAAATACAAAAAATTAGCTGGGCGTGGTGGCAGGCACCTGTAATCCCAGCTACTAGGGAGGCTGAGGCAGGAGAATCGCTTGAATCCAGGAGGCAGAAGTTGCAGTGAGCTGAGATTGCCCCACTGCACTCCAGCCTGGGTGACAGAGCAAGACTCTGTCTAGAAAAAACAAAAAGAAACTCAATGTTGCCACATCTGAGCTCACTTTTTCTTCCCCCAAACTACTTCCTCTTGGGGTCTCTGTCTCAGTGACTGTCTGTCACCTAAGCCAGCAGCCAGGAGCCGTCTTGAGTCTTGTTTTGACCCCCCGCCCCCACCTCCATATCCAGCCCCTTAAGCAGCCTTATTCCTGATGGTACCAGCACCTTCCTCCAGCCCTGCCCCACTCTGCTCCAACATCTGCTATAGCCAGGCCATGGTGTCCTCCTTCTGGGTGACGCCTGCAGCCTTCCCAATGGTTCCCCACCTTTAGATTCTCCTACCATCCATCTACCAGGATACCTTTTTAAAAATTGAGGCATTACTTGAAAACAATAAGATGTACATATTTTAAGTGTACAATTTGATGATATTTTGTTTTTTGTTTTTGAGATGGAGTCTCACTCTGTCGCCCAGGCTGGAGTGCAGTGGTGCAATCTTAGATCACTGCAAACTCCCCCTCCCAGATTCAAGTGATTCTCCTGTCTCAGCCTCCTGAGTAGCTGGGATTACAGATGCCCGCCACCACCTCCGGCTAATTTTTGTATTTTTAGTAGAGACAGGGTTTTACCATGTTGGCCAGGCTGGTCTTGAACTCCTAATCTCAGGTGATCTGCCCTCCTCAGTCTCCCAAAGTGCTGGGATTACAGGTGTGAGCCACCTCACTCGGCCTGATGAATTTTAATAAATATATTACATCCATGTAGCCACCCCAATAAAGATAGAGAAAATTTCCATTATCCATGAATGTTCCTTAGAATCCTTTTCAATCAATCCCCTTTCCCATGGGCAATCTCTCCTCTGATCTCTTCCCTAGATTAGTTTTCCCTCTTCTATAGAAATTCTCACAAATGGAATCATATAGTTTGCATTCTTTTGCTCAGCAAAATGCTTTTGAGATTCCTTCACGTTGTCACTACAATCACTTAAAAGTGAGTATTTATTTAAATCAGTCTCCTATTAAAACTTTTCGTTGGCTCCTGTTATCCAAATTCCTGGCCCTGAATGATCTGGACTCATCTCACACATTGCCTACCCTTGAACTTTCACCTTTAGGAAGACTGAACCATTTGTTCACCTGCACAAACATAGCTTTTCATGGGTTGAGTCCTGTGGCTGGAATCCCTCAGCTCCTACGCAGTTTGCCTGGTGCACTCCTACTCATCTGGCAGCATTCTGCTCACATGTAGATTGTGTGAGGCTTTCTCTGACCTGTTCCCACCCCCGGACAAAGAGTCAGTCAGCTGCACTATAATGGACTGTGTCCACTATTCTTGACACCCCGGAACCCCTGCCCAGCATCGACTGAATGGATTCCTTTCTCGGTATGACTGCTGTGTCTTGCATGTCATTTATCATTGTGCCCACTGCACTGTATGTGTTTATGGACTTGTGTAACCCCTTAGCTATGCTCAGAGGGATAGAAAGATTCATTTTGTTTCCAGAAATTCTTCCTGTGGAAGACTGTCTTGCTGCCTACCGAAGAGCCTACCCAAGAAGTACTCCACTGTGCAACTGAACCATCAATCTTGTGCAACAAGAAGCAAGACAGGCCAGGCGTGGTGGCTCACACGTGTAATCCCAGCACTTTGGGAGGCCGAGGTGGGTGGATCACCTGAGGTCAGGAGTTTGAGACCACCCTGGCCAACATGACGGAACCCCATCTCTCTACTAAAAATACAAAAATTAGCCAAGCGTGGTGGCGGGCTCTTGTAATTCCAGCTACTCAGGAGGCGGAGGCAGGAGAATCTTTTGAACCTGGGAGGCAGAGGTTGCAATGAGCCAAGATGGCGCCATTACACTCCAGAGTGAGACTCTGCCTCAGGAAAAAAAAAAAAAAAAAAAAAAAGGCAGTAGCAGCAAGACAGTCTTGTTGCCTACCTAAGAAGACTGCTGGAAATCTCCAGTCTTCTTCGCTAACAGACCCTGATCTTGTTCAGGCAACCATGTGCCTAGAGATTTTGCCAATGATCAGTTGAGGAGTGGTGTAATTCCGACCAAGGAGATGTTAAGAGGACATCTTCTGGGAAAGCTTTTTCTTCCTGAAAAGAAGAAACGAGAAGCAAATGCTCCATGTTATGCCTTCCTCTTTCCTCTTGTTTGGGACACTATTGTGTGATGGTATGATGTTTGGAGTTGTAGCAGCCACCTGGTGACCATGAGGCAGCGACAAAGAGGAGTGCAGAAACATTGATCCAGAACCCTGGCATAAGTGAGGGTCTAAACATCCCTCCTTCCAACTTCCCGTTACGTGAGTAATTAAATGACTTTACTGCTTAAGACACAACTAGTTGGATTTTCTGACATTTGCAGCTGAAGGACTCTTACTTGATATATTTTGTGAGTAAAGTTTTTATTTTGGGATAATTGTAGAAACTCTAAATCTTCATGAGATTGTGAAGCACTTGATATCCAGATGATGGTACAGACCCGCCTGGAGCTGTCCTCTCGAGTGGCCGTATCATGTCCACTTAGAGTGCGCCTCAGGGAGCTTCTGCCTTCTCTCCTTGTTCTCAGTCTTCGGACCTCTCGACACTCCTTTAGGAAAAAGGAAAGGGCTTCCTCCTCTGGGCCTCTGAGTCAGGCTGTCAGTCAGTCCGTTCCATGCAGCTTTCCCCCACTGGAGCTAGGGGGAGAAGGCTTCAGGTCCCGGATTATCTTCTTAACAACCCATGAAAAAGGCATTGTTGCTCCATTTTGTAGAAAAACTCAGTCATGTTAGTAAAAAACCTGATCAAGATCACACGGTCAATAACAGAGGAGCCCCACAACCTGGTCTTCCCAAAGTCACAGTCCTTATACCTCAATACCTGACCTCCCTTGGGCTTAAATCATGTCAGTATCAAGCAGGTGATGTGAACATTGCTTTGGATGGCGGCCATGAAAATGCCCCACTCAGATTTCCTACTGCTGGGAGTGTCATCGACCAAGGCCTCAGCTCCCAAGGCCATGCTTCCTATGGGCTTCCTTTCACCCAAGGCTGAGCACAGCAGGGGTGCTAAGACAGGACCAACCTTGGGAGATGCAGGGCTCCTCTGAGGACATCTTTAGCTCAAGGACTCCCAGTTGGTTCGACCAGAACTTTGCTAGAGCTGTGCTGAGTCTGAGACTTTGCTCATCCAACCCTCCTTCCCTCTCTCTCTTCCTGGCAAGGGTCACACCTACAGCCTGGTCTCACAGTTCCCGCCTCTGCTGGCTCACTTCCCTTTTCCCTTCACAGATGTTTTCCCCAATAAATCTCTTGCATATCTAATCTTGTCTTGGGATCTGGCTTCTTAGAGGACCTGAATTAATGTGCTTTGATTTTTAACCCTCCAAACTCAACCTGGCAACCTGTCTGTAAAGCACCTGGCACATACTAAGTTCTCTTCTCTTTTCCTCTCAGAGTGTGGGTGTTATGAGTGGCCAAGATGTGAGGCTGTTTCTGTCTCCAGTGGGAGCAAGGTGGACTGCCCTGTGACCAGAAGAATATGCACATACCTGGAAACCTACGCATCCTGAGGTTCAGAGAGGCTGAGGGACTCACCCGAGGCCACACAGCTCATGCCTGAATGCCCACACAGATACACACACAGATGCATGGGATGGGGAGACAAAGTCGGGGTGGAGAGACAGGGTCAGGATGTAGTGTGGGGCAGGCAAAGGGCATGAGGAAAGCAGCCCCTTCCTGCCCCTCCCTGCTGACTTCCCAGGCTGGTCTGTATGTTTTGGTGTCATGGCAACTGGCTGTGGGGGCTGCATGTGGAAAGTGAAGCTTAACCTTAAGACACTGTGGGGAGCTAAATGGGCCTAAAAGATACCAGGTCTGTGATTTTCCAGCCTCCCAGCCTTGCTCCAGCCTGGAGATACTGCCAGCTCAGCCCAGCCCCCAGTCATCAGGAAATGCCTTTCTCTACTTACTCTTACTGCCTATCCAGCCCATTGGGCTCACTTGCATGATTTTACTAACTGAATCTGGAATCCTCTCTTCTCTTCTTGTTTGTCTAAATCCTCTCTCTCTCTTAGAGTTAAGTTCCAGTCCCACATTCTCTTGGAAGCCTTCCCCGATTTCCCCAGCTCATGGAGCTCTTTTCTTCCTCTGGTCACAGCTAGCAGTCACTGCACTATCTGGAGCACTCACCTTATGGCATTTCAACTTTGTCCCCATGCAATTCAACAAGCTCCTAATATGTGCTGGACATCGTGCTAAGTGCTGTATGTTCCTGCGGGTATCTTGGGGGCTAAATCTACTCTAGGCTCATGGCCGGGTGAGGTGGCTCACACCTGTAATCCCAGCACTTTGGGAGGCTGAGGTGGGTGGATCATGAGGTCAGGGGATCGAGACCATCCTGGCTAACATGGTGAAACCCCATTTCTACTAAAAATACAAAAAATTAGCTGGGCGTGGTGGCGGGCACCTGTAGTCCCAGCTACTTGGGAGGCTGAGGCAGGAGAATGGTGTGAACCTGGGAGGTGGAGCTTGCAGTGAGCTGAGATCACACCACTGCACTCCAGCCTGGGCGACAGAGTGAGACTGTCTCAAAAAAAAAAAAAAAAAAAAATCCACTCTAGGCTCGTTAGACTTCAGACAGGGAGCCCCTGACCGTCTAGCATTTATGGACCATTTATGACCAGGAGAGGCTCCCATCAGCTCCTAAACTAGGCAAGACAGAGGGTGCAGGTGGCAACTTGTTAGAACCTTGGTCTCAGAGTCCAGACAGGCCACTGTCTGCGTCTTGTTTTTCTAAGCTATAAAAGGGGGATGACAGTACCTACCTCACAGGCTTGTTCTAAGGACAAATGATATGATGAGATAATATATGTAAAGTAACAAACACAGTAATTGATGTGCTAGTTGTTTGCTTTATCCATGCCAGCGGCCCCTGCCGCCACCCCGTAGCCTCTGAGTCTACCTAAATACAAACACTGTGTTCCCTTTGGGGCCATTCAAAGCACTCCCTGTCTTGGATTGTAGAATTAAATAGGAAGAGGTTTACCCTCCAGAAGCTCACCATCGGGTACTTCTCATGCTTGCTCTCACTGAATCCTCTGCCAACTCTGGGACAGGAAATAGTATTCCTGTGTCATACATGACAGAGCTGGGGCTCAGGGAGGTCGAGTCAGACTCAGGCCTGAGACGGATGATAAGCCCTAAGCAAACAGGCATCCATTGGGAGAGAACACTCTTTTATACTGTGCAGGTGTCAGTTCTGCCCAAAGAATTCTTTTTTTTTTTTTGAGATGGAGTCTCGCTCTGTTGCCCAGGATGGAGTGCAGTGGCACAATCTCAGCTCGCTGCAAGCTCCGCCTCCTGGGCTCACGCCATTCTCCTGCCTCAGCCTCCCGAGTAGCCGGGACTACAGGCGCCCACCACCACGCGCGGCTAATCTTTTTTTGTATTTTTTAGTAGAGACTGGGTTTCACAGTGTTAGCCAGGATGGTCTTGATCTCCTGACCTTGTGATCTGCCCGCCTCAGCCTCCCAAAGTGCTGGGATTATAGGAGTGAGCCTATTTCCTGGCCCAGAAAATAGATCTTAAGTGTTCTCACCACACACACACACAAAGGTAACTATGGGAGGAATGTGTTAATTAGCTTGATTGTGGTAATCAATTAACAATGTAATGTATATCAAATATATCTTTTTAAATTCAAAAAGTAATGCCAGGCAAAATCACAACAGGGTTTTTGGGACAGGGCGGGGGAGAGATTTAACAAGACCATTCTAAAACGAATCTGGAAGAGTAACTGTATCGGAATAACCAAAAAGTATTTGAAAAAGAAGTACAATGAGGGGAGACTTCCCCTATCAGATATCAAAACACTACCAAGCTGTACTCATTAAAATGGTGTGCCGGCCTGAGACAAGACAGATGGATCAATGTCACTGAACAGAGAGCTGAAAAAGGGGTTCTGTATTAAGAGGAATCCAGTATGTAATAAAGTAGCATGTAAAAGCAGCAGAAAAAACTTTCAGTTATAAGATGAATAAATTCTGGGGATCTAATGTATAGCATGGTGACTATAGTTAATAATACTATCTGGTATACTGGAAATTTGCTAGGAAAATAGTTTGGTTTTTTTTTTTTTAAGATGGAGTCTTTCTCTGTCACCCAAGCTGGAGTGCAGTGGCATGATCTCGGCTCACTGTAGCCTCCGCTTTCCGAGTTCAAGTGATTCTCCTGCCTTACCCTCCTGAGTAGCTGGGACTACAGGTGCACGCCACCACACTTGGCTAATTTTTGTATTTTTAGTTGAGATAGGGTTTCACCATGTTGGCCAGGCTGGTCTCAAACTCCTGACCTCATGTGATCTGCCCGCCTCAGCCTCCCAAAGTGCTGGGATTATAGGAGTGAGCAACCATTCCTGGCCCAGAAAATAGATCTTAAGTGTTCTCACCACACACACACACAAAGGTAACTATGGGACGAATGTGTTAATTAGCTTGATTGTGGTAATCAATTCACAATGTAATGTATATCAAATCATCACACTGTAGACCTTGAATATATACAATTTTTATTTGTCAATTAGACCTCAATAAAGCTAGAAAAAAGCAATAGGGAAAAGAGGGATTCTTCAGCAAGTATTGTAGAGACAATTGGCTATCCTTGTGGAAAAAAACCATAAAGTTAGATTCCT